AAATACCCCGGCAGGTGTGGGGGGCTTTTTGGGGGAGGGGGGGGGGGGGGGGAAATTCACCCTTCAACTCTTGAGTGATAGTTCACCCAATCCACCTAGCAACAGTGTAACAAGGAGCCGGCTGGCCCATACAGGGATGCTCAGGAATGACGAAGAGAGCAAACTTGCCACATGCAAATAGTGGAGCAAAATGACTAAGATGTTTAGGAACATGACATTAGAATAATATAGAACTGACAATAGAATTGTAGGACAAGATAAGGTGGAAGGCTGAGACCACCTTAGGAAGAAAGGCCCCAGAAGTGATGGCGACAAAGATGGCAATCAGATGATGAACAATAAGGCTTGCGCCAACTGCTGTTGGGGATTGTTCATGTATCACACTATGGAGAATCCCTGAAAGCGAAGCAGTCAGAACAAGGGCGGAGTCTGAATCTTCAGTTTAAAAATAGAGCAGACATACACACAGCTTTGGGGACAGTGAACAGTTTCAAGTAAAACCCGTGAAAATGTTCTGCCTCCAGAACAGGGACTATAACCCTCTGAGAAAAGAGGCGGTCTAGGTCCATTCGTCCAGTTCGAAAGCGGGCAGTAAGGACGAGCCAAGGAACAAAACTGCAGTTAATAACCTCTGGTTTACGATGTTCTGGACCTAGGGATTGACAAATGAAAATGTATCTCCCCAACAAGGTCCTGGATTTAGTGGGATTGGAGGACCAGTACTAACAACAAAACTGATGGACTGACCGGAGCATAGACCTCAAGACTTGGGAGGGATGAAAGGAGGGAGCAGAGGATCTTGTGGCTGGAACCTTGCAAGGTGTTCTTGCCCCCATCCGTGCGGGTGTCCATACTCATATGCTGACTGGATGGATCCAGTCAGCGTCCGATCAGGGACACCCACATCCGTACGGACGTGCAGTTCAGGTGAGCGTAGGGCGACGTACGGCCACGTACTCCCATAGAGAACAGGCTGCTGCGTACAAATCACACACAGCACATGTCCTTCCTGGGAGCTGCCTGATACGGCCATGCACGCAGCACGGATCTGTAGGGGCCGGCTGTTACTCGTGTGAATGAGGGCTTAATCTTCATCTCTTCCCTTCCCTCTCTAACTGCTATTTTTCATTTTAGTTTACTAGTCTTTAAAAAGATACACATATCCCTCACTGACTGAATAAACCATGGTGATGTACAAACTCTAAATCCTCTAGTCTAGTTACGGAAATTAAATAAGCATGCTGATCGACTGCCATGGGCTCTGACTATGAAGGAGGTAAACCAGCCAGGCCACATTTGTTGTGTTCAGGCCATTTTGTTTGAAAGACAGGTAACCACAAACCTTGCTTAAAGAGTTCAGTAACCTATGGAACAGGACTCAAGCTACCCAGACCAGAGACATAGGATATAGAAGAATACTCAAACCAAAATAATAAATAGGTTTTACAATAGTTCTTTAGGTGATTTTAAACAGCACTTACCCTTTTCCATCACGAAAGCAGCTAAAGAACTGCCACAACCATCAAACTGAGGATACTCTGCCAACAGATCCATAAACTTTTCCTTGATTATAGAAGATATCTGCTCGTGAATGAAAGGCCTCTTATCTGGAAAACAGTAAACACATGTATAACATTTGCATATGGGCTATATTGTTTCATTCCATTGTCAACACTATAACAATAACAATATATGCTGGGTTTTAGAAGTGCACAGGTGCCGATAGTATATGACGTAGACTGGAAATGCAATTTGTAGAGAAGAGCGTTTAATAGTACGATGTATAAGAACATATCAAAGGGAAAGACCCTCTTTGTATTTAGTTGCTAACGTTGAATAGACAAAGGCCCAACCAGTTCTACCCGATGTGTGTTTGTGTACGTCCAGGTAACCAATTGTTCCCATATCCCTATATATTGTGTATACTGAAAAACTTTTAAACTTACCAACACGAGTTCTTGAATTGCTTAAAGCTCCAGTTGAGATTATTTGTTCAACAGGTAATAATGGCGGTCCACCAACATTGGAGACATTTATGTTTTCCATGAGATGAGCTGTAAGATTTTGAATAAGGCATAAAAATACACATTTCACAAAAGGGGAAATTGGATTTTTGTACTTAGTTTAAAATCCCTTTTCTTTGGGTTTTCTGAAGAACACAACATTTATGATTCATGAGTCATGGGTTATAATGCCACTTATAGGAAGAATAAGACTAGACAAAAAAAAAATGGAAGCCAGCCCTATGGTTAATAACTCCATCCTTAACCATCTGCTTAGTAGCAAACAGTATGTATAAACAATAGCACAAGCTACCACACAAGGGGAGGAAGGAGTTTCTCCCAATGAACTAAGAGAAAGGTATTTTATGTTAAGTACTTAAATCCCATTTTCACCATTGTTCATTGAAGGAGACAGCATTTCTTATTTATGAACAATGGGACTTCCCGTAGGAGTCCACAGAGTGGAGGGAACATGAAATAAATGCACTGTGTTCAAATAAACTAATAATCATACTCATATATGCAAAAAATGAAAAATTGCGCTCAGTCAAATGTACAAATTTAATAAACCTAAATACCAATAATGAATTTGCTAATAATGTGACATAAATAGCATTACACAAATAGTGTGATTATGGGCTCAGTCACACTAGATGCAGTGCGTTCCGACCCAATTTTGGCCAGAACGCACTGCCTCGCATGGTGGCTGGCTCACTTTTTAGTGGGGCAGGAGGGGGCGTGGCGGGCCATTCAAGTGAATGGTGCCGTAGCCACGCCCTCCGGCCGTAATGCGATCCGCCTCGTGCCAATGCGATCCCGTGCAGCGGATCGCATTGCGGCCAGAGGGCGTGGCAAATAGCCGCACTCACCAGATATAAATCGGCTATCTGTTTACAGATAAGCCACATGCGCTTAATTTCCTTGTAGACTCCGATTTCTAATTTGAAGCAGAAAATCTCCCAAGTTGCCTGCAATCCTCCATGTTTGCTGGTATAATGCACTCAAAACTACCCAGAGCTGTTGGCGATTACTGACGCTGAAAATCTCACAAGATGCCCGCAATCCTCTGCACATGCTCATTTTTTCACACAGGGCCATGTGGGTTTGGATTTTGTTATCCCTTAATAAAAACCTTCCTTTAAAAAATGCATGTGGTGTTTACTTGTGTTATCTTTGACTAATATTTAAATTTGTTTGATTATCTGAAACATTAAAGTGTGACAAATGTGCAAAACAATGAAAAATCAGGATGGGGGCCAACACTTTTCCACACAACTGTATGTATATTTTTAATTCAATAAAGTGTTTTAAGTACTACGCAATGGAAGGATATGTATACATTTCTTTTTGAGCAAGCTTTTAGGGAATATATCGATGGTTCTTTCTAGTTGGGACAGAAGAGGTCTCTCGTGGTTTGGACGCATTAATACTCTAAAGATGGACGTCTTAGCATGTCTCTTTATACATTTTTAATGCAATTCTTATCCTTCCCCCTAAATCTTTCTTACTCAAACTAAAATCACTTTCATTACGTTATGTTTGGGACTCTAGGAAGCCTCGCATTCACTTTTCAGCTCTTTCTAAAGCCAAATCGGAAGGCGGAGTGAGTCTTCCGGATTTTGAATCACAAGGCTTCTTTGCTTACCCAGTTGTCAGATTGGTTCCATCGTCATTCTGATAAGCTTGTGACGCAACTGGAATTCGATCTTAGCACCCTTGACTTACAGACATTCCCATGGATCCCGCCGTGGCAATGTCCTTCTGCGACATCCTTGCCCTTTCTGTCTCCGCCCTTGCTTTGGGTATGGGACAATTTCGCTCTCACGAAGAAGCTTGCTTCTTGCTTGGGCCCCCCTACCCCTCTTTCTGATTATCCGAGTTTTGGTCTGGGGATCCAGGTCTCCTCTGTTGGTCCATTTTCCAGAGACTCCTGGCCCTCCTGACAGGCCCTATCGTGCGGGGTACTGGATTCTCTTCCATTTAACTCTTCGGCTTCTTGCGGAACATAAAATCCCTCCTGCCTATACCATTGACGCTTACGCCTCTTGAGACTTTCCTGTCCTCTACTGACATTCCCTCGCATAGGGTTTCCTCTCTATATGGGCTGCTACGGGGGAAGGGAGGTGATAAGAGGTTGTCCTCCGTTCGATTCAAAATGGGAAGATCTCCTGGGTGGTTCCTGCTCTGAAGACGATTGGAGGAAATGTTATGCCCTGACTTATAAGCTGTCAATGTCCTCATATATGCAGGAAGAGAGTTGTAAGATTGTATCCCTTTGGTATTGTACACCACAGAATTTGCACAAGATGTACCCTTCTGCATCTGTCCGTTGCTGGAGTAAGCGGGATCTTTTCTTCACTTATGGTGGAGCTGTCCTGTTATCACTGGCTTTTGGACCTCGGGCCTTTGTCTGCCATCACAGGATGAGCATTTCTGATATACTCCCTTCTCCCAAGGTGGCCCTCCTCTCAATGATCCCCGAATCACTCTCATCTCTTAAGGGAATTCTGCGCCACGGTTTGTTAGTGGCCAGAGACGCCATTTAGCAACACTGGAAGTCCAACTATCCCCCAAAGCTCATGACTTGGGCCCTGATAATGAATGAAATTTACACTATGGAGGATCTGGTAGCGTTTGACAACAGATCTGACAAGGTTCTAGAGACATGGTCTGGCTGGTTGGTTTTTAGGGGCTCTATAGAATTTAAACAAATGCTCAGCTCCTGAGTGGATAGGTGGCCTAGCTATATTTGGAAGTTAATGTGTGTTAGTTATGTCTCTATTTAGACAGTTTTAGAAGACGTTCTGTCTAGTGTTGAGTGGACCATTGCGATCCTGTCCTCTCATTTTCCCATCCTTTCTCATGGTTCTCTCCTATAGTTCTCTTTCAACTACTTTCAATAAATATATATTAAGCATGTGCCAAATCAATCTTCGTGCTATCGCAGACTGGCTATTCCGCCTTTTCAAGACCGCCCCTCAGGGACCTGACGGGCATTGTTAGCTGCTCACTATGGAATAGTTCCTGTATTTTCGATTAATGTCTGTGCATACTTGGCTTGTACTGGATATGGGTTAGGACGATGCCCTGTTTTATGCATTTTTTTCTAGTTTTGTATGTTAGTTATGCCTTTAATAAATAAAAAGATTGACCCCCAAAGAAATTATACACCCCAAGTACTCTCCAATCACTTTGAAGGAAAATACAGAAGTTTGTTTCTAAACAAATCATCACAAAAACCATAGCTCTAGATAATCTCTGTAATTTCCTCATAGATTACCTTGTAGCTCAGATTCCTCATATTGAAGTAGTTGATCTAACGCTAATTTAGAAGCATTTGCTTTTGCTTCTTTTTTGTTCTGCCCCATTCCTGTTTTGTATGTAACTCCATCAACAACGGCACAAAATGCAAAATAGGCACCAAAGACATTTCCTAGGATTAAACAAAGAGAAAGAAAATGAAATAGAACACATACACAGCCGGGGTTAATTATTATGCCTAACAACTATTGGTAGAAATAGCATTGGTGGTGGCAGCGTAGAGATTAGGGTATGTTGTGTTGTTGTATGGCCACTTCAGGGGTTTGTTAGTGCCAGCCATGAAACTAAGCACAAATGCTGACAATAGCAAAAGCAAAACATGCTTTAAGCGGACCTTTACGCTCAAAAATCAAATTCTACCAATGCATCCCTCTATGTATGATGATTAATAATAACTTAGACATGTCAGGTGTAAAATGCTGTGATTTTGAAATACCTACACTTGCAGAGCATTCACTTCCTGCTTTGAAAAGTGCAAATGACTTCAGTTTGTCAAAGCAATGCACACTGGGATTGCCTTGTCATCAGGAGAGCATTGCTGGGAAATCTCATCTCAGCGAAAGGCATTTTCCTTCCCTGAGATGATGTGCATGGTCACAAGTGCCAGAAATCCAGGAAGTAAAGGGAGATCTAGTAACCTGCCCTTAGTAAACATGATCACTGTCAGAGACTGGGGAAGAAAAGAAAAATAAGGTACACAAAGAATGCAAAGCCTGCAATTATCTAGACGTATGTGGTTGTAGATGGTCATTACTTAACATTTCTAAAGGTGTGTATCATTTTAAAGATATGGGTAAAGGTCCACTTAAGACTGATCCACCCAAATCCCTCCCAACAGATAACTGGGCTGGCGGTGCTCAGACACAAAGAAGGCCAAAAGGTAGACAAGCCTGAAAACCCTATCATCACTGCAGGCAGTCTAGCCAAACAAGAGGTCCTGCTCTGTTACGGCGCGCATGTAGGACTCCACCACCCCCTTGATGTCACAGTCCGTGCCCAGGTCAGAGCCTGTTAACTCTCTCTTCACCACTATTCAAATATGAGAGAGAAAATAAAAGTGCTGAGCAAACATGACAGTCAAGATGTGCGGCCAGCTGGCAATACACCACTGGCCCCAAAAGAGGAGTGATCCAGACACAACCTCTACTCTGCCAAGTACACGCATGCCAGGGTACTGGATCTTCAGAGCCAGGGTTAGGTAAGCAGCACAGTGGCTTAGTGGTTAGCACTTCTGCCTTGCAGCACTGGGGGTCCCTAGGTAGAATCCCTGTTCAGGACACTATCTCCAAGGAGTTTGCATGTTCTCCCTGTGCTTGTGTGTGAGTATACTAATGACATGCCTCACTAAGTCTGTGTGTGGATATTACAATGTAATACAAAATTTACCCAGTGATTAGCCATGTAAAATCTACCCAGTTGCTATAGTTGTGATTTTTAATTGAAAGCATATCAGACATCATCATCATAGAACACCGCTCAAATGCTGAGAAATCTTCTGTTAAAAGTCTGCACTAAAACCAACACTTTCGGTAGCGCCAATCTCCTGGGTCCCATGCAGCTTTCACTGGTACTCCTGCTGACTTTCATGTCAATGCTGTATATTATAAGTGGAGGTCAGGAGGAGGAACCAATGAAAGAGCTGCGGAGGATCCTAGAGATAAGTGTCAATATCAGTGCATACTTTTGCAGAAGATCTTTCTGGAGTGGAGTAGCATTTAGCTGGTAATCACAACCATAGTGGTCCATCTCTGTGGCTTCTATCTAGATGTGCAAGATATAAATAAAATATAGCAAATATTTTCCCTACTTTAGCTCAATCTTGTCTTACATGCAACAAGTTCACAATCTGTTCACCTACCTGTAGTTACCGTCTCTTTCAGCTCAAGTACCATTCTCTGCATTTGTACAAATTGATGTAGAGCAGAAACTGGATTGGTTTCACCACGTCTATACTTCACAATAAATTCTCTAGGGATCTTTTTTGGAGCCAAAGAGGAGTCTGGAGGAGGAGGCAGAACTACTTTGGATAAAAAAGGTTCAGGAAAGTTGCCTATGAAATCAAGCATAATCAGTAACCAAGTCAGTACTGTATTAATCAAACAAATATAAATAGAAGCAATATGAAAGTCCACTAAAACATAGGATTTTTTGTAAACCCTTAAAATACTTTTTTCAGTGTTCATTGAAAGACACAGCAGAGATTTGTAGAGCTTCACACTGGGTATATCGCCACCATCAGCAGTAGGACACTAGGTACAATGACTGGACTACTGGGGGGTGGGAACAAGAACTCCTCCCAAGGCAGCAAAACAACACTGCTGCCAGTAGAGCTCCCAAGCAGAGTGACAACTAAAAACCTGCACCACAGGGGAAAAAAGGCCTCACTGCAATCCAGAAATGGTAACCAAAGCCAAAATAGCTCATCAAGTACTCCCAAACGCACAAGAGTGAAACAGAACAAAACCCATTCCTTTTACCAAGCTCGAGCAGAGCTCACTGAACCACAGAAATAGTGGATCAAAAAGCTGGGTCCTCCCACAAGGAACCAGCAGGAAGGCACAAAGACACAAAACCAAAAGGAAGCAGCAACTGTAAGGCCCCAACATGACCAGTCCATGTGTAGAACCAGAAAAAGTACCATTAAGAGATAAGGTAAGATTGCCAACTCATACAAAAGGTAGGCAACCCCAAAGGCCAGAGTTAAAAGGGGAATAACATCAAGAGACGGTTCTTCAACTCAGACAGCATCCCTAGAGACAAATGTAGAGAAAAATAAAAAACTCAAACAAAATAAAAACCTACAAAACAGACAACCTCTGCAAAAAAAAAAGGCTAGAAGAAGTTTGTCAGGAGGAAGCCCAACCCCCTTAAAAGGCACAGAGACGCACAAGGGATCCCGCACATCCCAATGGCAGCTGAGACCCCCCATGCATCACTGCCCCACTGCACCAAAACAGCCGGCTGTGCGGCTTTCACATTTTCTGCAGAAGACGTGTATCCAAACCTCTGTTTTTAACCTTAGTGTGAGACAAGTTTGTTTTACATGTTAGCTTGTGAGTGTGCCAGGAAAACTGCAACATTGATAAATTCCCCCCGGGCTGAAGACCACAGACCAACAGGAGGACTACATAAAAAATGTAGAGGGCCACACCGCAAACGAAGGTAGGTGAGAAATACACATCCAGAAACATCTCCAAGGCTCAGTGATAAAGAGAGCCATGACAGACCAGGCAGAAATCATGTGAAAAGCCAGACGATACAAAAGATCTGTAAGAACAGCATAGGGTTGTCATCCCATGCAGGAAAATAATCAGGTTAGACAACATAACATGGAAGCGGCCCAAACTCATAATGCCGCAAAGCAAGCAGTCAGCGAGGATAAACAGTAGAATCCTCCAACATAAGTGCAGTGCAGCCACCTAGGGATTGACAGACAAGCAGAATGGTCAGAAAAATAAATTCAGAGGATCCCCAGGGATGTGCGTAAACAAACAAGACGACCCTAGAATGTTGTAGGGATCCCCACACACCTATATAACAGCAGGAAGGAGGCCTCCCCCTCCCTTCCCGGGAGCCTGACAAGGGAAACCCACAAGAAGGAAGATCCGACAGGACCTACTTAGAGATCCGGAAGTTGACCACACCAAAGCCTTAGTAAACAGCAAAGACAAGACAGCTGACAAGACAAGGCTAGAGTCCCAAGCCATGCATCCAACGATGCAATACACAAAAGTAACATCACCAGTGGACACTTGTGTCACAAGGACAGATTGCCGAGAAAAAGTGTACCCCTGACCACTCCAGCCCCCAAACCCAAGCTAGGGGAGGGAAGGAAGGTCCTCTCTATGTATTCACCAAGGACATGCTGCCCTCTGCCGCAGCTATAGCAACAAGCTACTCGGTCATAAGTATCCCCCATGAGGAACGTTCACAGGCTGCCCGTAGGAAGGTCTGTCACAGCTGATCCCACACGAAGCTAAGGATCTGCATGCACTCAATGGCTGACCTGGGGAGACAAGGATCTATATTATCCAGCTTGTCCCCTAGCTCAGCTGTTGACTGAAGGTCTGGAAGACAGACCATCAAAAAGAAAAATAAACATTTTCCTGCACAAAAAAAAAAAAAACAGAGAACCAAGATTCCCTGCAGGGAGTTAGTCCTTACTCCCAGACAAAATAACTAGGCTGCTTCCTAGCAAACGAAAGTCTGGCCACAAGCAGGGGCTGCCCCTATGCTGTGCATTTGGTTTTTATGCCTAGCGCCCTAGTACTGATGATGATGCTATAACCCAAATGGTGAAGATCTACAGATTTCTGCGGTGCCTTTTAATGAATGGAAGAGAAATCAACATTACAGCTTTTGGTTAACTAAAACCTTTTCTAAGAGAGACAAGGAGGCTGACATTGTTACTTCTCATTGCATAAATGCTAGTTTCTTGGCTGTCATGGTTTCCCTTTTGCTTCAATACTTTTTTTACTCTTGCCTGGAACAAACTTGCAAATAAAAGCGGTCTGACTTTGTGCTGACTATACGCATGCATACTTGTTCCAGGTCAGAGACTTAAAAGTGTGTTTCACTTTATATACACATTTATGGCAATATTGTAAAAAACAAAAAAAAAAAAAAAACATAAGATACTCTGCACAGTATTCAAATTGAAAGTAACAGGATTTTGGTCTAATCTGTAAAATCCATTTATTGAAAGTAACTCGCATGCAAGGGGTTAATTCGTCAACGGCTAGGTTCTGCAGTTATCTTCAGGCGATTGGACATCGGCAAACGAATCAAACCTCTGAAGGTGCCCATACACTGCACGATTCTCGTACGAGAATCGCGGGAAATCCCGCGATCGTACGAGAATCGTGCAGTGTATGGAAGGCGTGCGACCGTTCCTACTGTACGTATTGTACTGTACTTCGAGCATGTTGGAAAATCCGCCGAGAATCGTATGATTTTCGGCTGGTTTTTAACATGATCGAGACAACTGGCGAAAGGGCGCACACTGCCCGTTCAGCATTGCAGTCATCGGAAGCCCGCCCCTCAGAGAGGTGGGCTTGCGATGATCGAAAGTTCGATCTGCCTGTCCAAGATGGGCAGATCGTACGTTTTTTTTAAGTACTTTACAACCCTCGCAAGACAAAAGTCTTGTGAGGGTTGTATAGTGTATGGGCACCTTTAGACAGCCCTGGATAACCCCTGCCACTCCCAGCCTGCCTCAGATTTCTAGCAAGCGGTATAAGAGAGGATTACAGAAACAAAAAGGGTAGGGTCCTGTGATGTACTCCACAAAACAAATGTTACAGTTGAAACAAAAACCCAATTTTTTTTTAAATGTACATTACAGGACACAGAGTTATTTCTTCTTCTTTACTTTGCAATGAAAGGGACATTCCCGTGGGGCCAGACACGGAGGACAAAATCTGCGTGCAAAATTTTCCATGCTAAGGATGTGCACAGCAGTCAGACTCAAAAAAGTGAAGTTCTGCCCAGGCCAGAATTAATCTTGCATTCCTTAGAGTGGCACAGATTCCTGTGCCTCCCTGATTTATGCAGGTCATTGCTGCTGCATTGTCCAAATGGTCAGGTGACCGTGCAATTGAGGGATCCAGTGTTAGAGAAACAGCCAAGCTCCAAAATGTTGATTCCAAGTTGAAATTATCAAGTGCCCTGAACTGTTAAGGAATCTAGGACTCCACTCCAACCCGGCATGCTAACATACACCGTAATGATCATCCAGTTCAGAGTTTGACATCCACCATGCCACAGCCAGTCTTGACCTCGACAGTAAAGACACACTGGTTCAACTTGTTGCAAACTGTCAGAATACTTGTAGCTACCTGGAGTGAAACTAGGAGTACAATAAACCACTCAAAATGAGGCCACCATCAGGCCTAGAACCATCATGCAGAAAGAATGGAGAGTCAATTCCTGGACCGAATATGGGAGGGCAGTAACAGAAGCTTCTACAAACAGAAAGAAAACCTATCCATCAGCTTCTCTGAAGAGTCTGGACGGTCTGTCAGATGTTGGTAGACAGGTGGCTGTCCAGATACCCCACAGTGTGGACACCTTGAGCCCATAGTAGAGCAAGGACAGGGGCTAGCACTTTGGTGAAGACCCGAGGCGTGGTAAACATACCAAAGGGGAGAGCAACAAACTGGAAGTGCTGCTTGCTTACAGCAAGACGCAATAAACGCTGATGGGGAGGGAAAAAGGGGGATGCGCAGGTAGGCATCCTTGAAGGCCAGGCGTTTCCCCTGCTGAAGGCAGGCAATAACTGACAGAGTTGTGGAAATTCTATGGCCCGACGGCCGGGACATGCAGTTCCAGGTTTTTTTGCATTAAGTCCTGTTTCGGGCAAGCAAGACTAAATGTAGTGCAAGGAAGCTGTTTTGTACAAGTGATCTTAGGCGGCTCTTTAACAGTCCAAGATGACTTTTAATCAGCCCGATTGTCGTCGTTGGCGTCCCCAAGCCCCCGCAGATTGCACTTCAATAGCTTCTTGCTAGGCTTCAGGAGCCCAGAGCAATATGGTAAAACATAATAAAAAAAAGGAAATAAAAATGAAACAAAAAACAACCTTGCAGCTCCCTCCATCTGCATGCAAATAAACACATACGTAGGGCATTGTAAGTGCTGCCCATATTCCACTGTTTGCCATATTGTGGTAGCCAGGCAGCAGCGCTTTCTAACACGCACAATGTGCATTAAAGTGTAAGCTCACTTTTCCAAGTAATTTGGGAGAATGGAATTACCCACTCAAATCTGCCTCCCTTCCCCCTATACTTACCTTTCGGCAAGCGGTCCTTCCCCTCCATTGGTACGGGTGTACTATCTGTACCCCGTACTGCCACCCATACACTCATTGACCAATGAGAACCACTTCTTAGCACAGTTAAATACAGTTTTGCTTAGGATTATTTTTTGTATCACAACAAGCAGATTGTCACGAGGGACACGCAGAATGTCACGAGGGACAAGTAGATTGGTCCCCTGCTTTAGTCATTGGACAAAGTAGTTTTTTCCCCCACCACCCTGAACGGTCATGATTCCATGCAGAATTTTGACCCTTAAGGAACATGTTGAGAATTTTCTACTTGGAAGGGATGAAAAGCTTTCCAGGACCCAAAAGATGGAGGGTTTACCTGTAGGGACTTTTGCCTTTTTCTGGCGGCAAAAGGGTGCTCTTAGGACTTCCTTAATGTACAGTAAGTTTCTAAGGATTCACCTAAGAGACATTCTCCCAAGAAAGGCACCATCTCCACAGACCAGCACTTCAGCCAGAGGATCCTGCACATCTGAAATTGACTCGGGGAGGGGGGTGTGCAAAGGGGGGTCATTTGCTACCCCCTGCATCCTAAATTCTCCAAAAGGGCTGACAACTTTGAAGAGAGAGGTGTGCCCAAGGGAGTAATCCTCGGAAGAGGGTAACGATTTTGACTGCGGACATTGATCAGCGCTGACCATACACGGGTCCCCAGGGAAAGCATTGCCAACCCTTCCAGAGACACTGACAGAGCGAGTTGGCAAGGTGGTTGGTCCCAATCCCTTTGCGCCCCTGATCTTCCAATAGTGTAGCAAGTCCCCCAGGGGGTACTCACAGCACACACCATGGAGAAGAAGGGGTGAAAAAGCTGTCTTGTGCAAAGCACTGAAGACTGTGGTACCCAAGAAACATCCAAAGCTTGATTGTTACCTTATGGAGCACGGAGCAGTAAGAATGTGCAGACAACACCTGCCTCCAAGATGGCCAGGCATTCGCAGTACAAACATCCAACAATATGAAGTGGCAGAGGATGGCCCACAGTGACCAGGGAAAGCGGCATCAAATTTGAAACATGATGGCCTCCATTGAACAATGTGCCGGATGCAGCCCTCCATTCATTGCTGTGATGTACCATTTACAGTGTCACAGCCTACTCCTGGTGCTGCACCTCTCTCAGGCATCACAGCATGTGCTCTGTGGTGGTTTATAGGGACAGGGGCTACAGCTGACTCAAAGCACTGCACTATGTGCCAAGGTTAGCGCCTAACAGAGGATCCAGTGTCCTGAGCAACATTACAGGCTGGCTCCACAGTCACATGCTATTAGGATCCAGGTATGGTCCCAAGGATCTGCCAAGGGGCCCAAATCTGGAAACTGCAAGAGTATGCCACAGTGGCTATGGTGCTTCCTGGAGAGGTGAATTTAAGAACAAATTGCATCCAACACCTAAGGACACTAGAAAAAGGCTTGCTGGGAATGGAAGGGGTTATATAGGGCTGTCCTACCAACTTTATTGCTAGTATTCAGTCAGCAAAAGGTAGCTGCTTATAGTCACCCACCCTAACACATCAACTGTAAAAGCACAGGCAAGGTCTAGTGACCTTTGGCAGGGCCAATGCAGGCAGTTCTAGCATTAAACAATCAAACAACTCGTTCACAAAGATAGAGATAGTGTCCCTAAGTTTGGCATAGAAGACAGGATGCAGCTCCTCTTCCTGGGCTGAAACCACATAACTGGAAACAGTCCCTTCATCCTCTTCTTGCTCAGGGAGTGCACAAGCAGACAGACGAAGGTCAAAGGGAAACTCTGAAGGAGAAAGAGAGGGGGTCCACTTATGCCCCTGTGGTTTGAAGATTCTAGAAGAGCAGAGATTTTCCCCATAATATGTTAAACAAGCCTACAAGATGAAGGAAGCACGTCTCATTCAGTCTTTGCCCCATTTAGTGGGCATATTCTGGAGGGGATACATTCTTCCCTGGACAGGGTAGAGGAGCATGTCCTGGTGGATACTGAGCTAGGGAGTTAATGGGAGAAGAACAACAACATAGGGCTAGCAGAAACAATCACCATAGGAGACAGAACATTCCCCAGAACAAAGGCTGCAACAACTAATCGAAAAAAATAAAGAAAAATAGTTGGCAACTATTCTCGTTATCGGTTAGTTGGTAGGAGAGAGTTTTTTTATGCAACCAATCGATTAATTGAAAAATGAATCGGGCAACTAATGGGTTATGAAAATAATCATTAGCTGCAGCCCTACCTAGAACCATTTTTAGTCTGCAAGTCCCCAAAGCCTGACACTCATGTCTATGCATGCTTGAGGGCAAAGGGCCTAGTACTAACAACTAAGAAGGATGCCTCATAAGCCACCACCATAGGCAGCAGTAGTAACTCAGCGCTGAGGTGTGAAGAGATCTGGACCCACTCAGCATGCAGTCGCAGCAGAGCCTGTGTAGCCATCTCAGTGAGCTCCAGAAAGGAAAATGAGGGTGCATGTGCAGTAGGAATTCGCAGAGCGAGACTGAACAGGCACTTCCCAATGCAGGGAAATGGCACAACATTTGAAAAAAATAGGAGGGGGCTTGTGAACCCCATCACTGGAACCTCAATAGTGACTCACAGGGGAAGGGGGGACAAACTGTGTACCTGGGCTGGGACTAGTTATGACTTACCACCCTCAGAGCAGTGGCTGACACAGCAGTAGTGAGGCCACTTAAAGGGCATTGCCCCCAAAGGGGGTCTTCAGGGACAGTGCTTCACTGCAATGACCTTGGACCTGTGAAACACCCTGCAGCAACTCACTTGCTGCACAAGGTGCCAAGGAAAGTGCCCCACATAGGATACAATGCCTTAAGCATTGCTGGCCTTTAATGGGCTTATTTCTTCCAATGGGGTAGGTCTGCCAAGGAGAAAACCAATTCGGATAGCTGACGTTAAGTGCTGTAGTGGCTGTGAGCAGCTTAGAGAAACCTGCTAAAATATTCTTCAAAAGCAAAGTGCAGAAAAAGTATGCACTTCTCTCAGAGCAGAAAGGGGGCCCCCTTCAGCCAAGGAAACTAGCAAACGAAAAAAAAAAAATTAGGAAGGCTAGAAGTGGGAGAAGTTATACAAGGTTGTGTTACAAGATTGATTGATTTGCCAGTGCCCATCCATTGAAGAATTCAACTCCCAGTGTCTTGTGATGTACATTGAAAAAATAATTAGGGATGCACCAATACTTTGAGTATCAGTGCCAGTACCTGGCTTTTTTATGAGAACTACAGGGTTGTAGCGGTTGCAGCTGGGACCTAGCTCTGGTGCTCCACCACTGTCCTGAAATCATTGGTTGATATTGTTTTAGAAAAACCTGTCACATGACAACAAAAATGTATCAGTACTTGTACTTGTAAGTACTTGTACTTGTAAGTACTTGGGCAAGTACCAGTACTTGCAAAACTGGTATCGGTGCATCCCTTTATCTATATTTATAAAAACAAAATCATACATTAAAACAGAGATGTACAAATCCCGGGAGCTCCGTGTGCTCCTTACAAATGACAGCTGCCTCCTAACTTTTGAATTTTTCTCTAGTCTAGTCTTGGAGCTCGAAAAGTATCTGTACTTGTACCGAGTATGGTACTTGGTATCAATGCATCCCCGGAAATATTAACCAATATGATATTTCTACAAGCTTTGTTTACTTCACTTAAATGCAAGCCCAACTTCAGACACAAGACAAAAAAAACCCCTTGCAGTGCCCCCCCCCCCTTTTTTTAAGGGGTAACAAGAAGAGAAGGTATTACTTGCCTTACTCACCTGCTTCGGAGCTCCCCTCAATGCTCCGGCCAGTCCTTCAGCATCATCATGTGCAATGCAGGCCTATTTATAGGCCTTCTGCACTGTTTGTGGAGGAGGCAAGTGTGTGACTGAGAGTGCTTAGAGAGGAGATTTGCTGGAGTGGTCACAAGGATGATGAGAGTCTGCTGGAGCGAGGAATAAGTGAAGTATTTCTGCACTATCCCTGCACCTTTAGACATATAGTTTTCTTGTCTTGTGCCCAGAGTTGGACTTTAAGGTGGGGGTGCCAGTGGCAATTTATTGAGTCTGTCAGTATCAATAAAATATTTACACCTCAATGGCTGCCATAATGGAAATAACGGATAAGGACAAACATTTTTTTTTTTTTCCATTAAGAAAAACAATGAAAACAAACATTGATAACAGTATGATCATGAAAGGGTTAAGAGCCTTTTCTTGTATTAACCTATTCAGTGAAGGTAGAAATGTATTAACTTCTAATCATATGTTTAGAGCTTAGACATGACTTTTTATTTCCCAAATGAGAGGGCTGTTCTGAGTGGATACCTGAATGGTGCAATCACTATTTAGTTATGCCAACAACCTCATTCCTCATTGCTAGAGAAAAATAAGTATTAATATTTTACTTAAACAAAGACAGCCTTAACGTATTAATTCCTTCCCCCTGACAAGCAGAAGTTATCGTGTTCTGACTCATGCAGAATTTATTTAATAGTTATAAAAGTACCAGTGACTGGAGAAATTTTGGACGCTCCATCCAGGATTTCGCAGTACGCTGAAGATGTGGAAGCCTTTGTTTGGGTCACAACAGGTGGTGCCTCTTGAGGAGATAAATTTCTCTTCAGTATCTGAGCAAAGCTGGGAACCTTAGAGGTCTGACCCCAACTACCAACACTTGCCATTCTAGTCTAAAAAGCAAAAACACAACAAAAAACACACAATTCATAAATTTCCAAAAGAGTAACGCATGCATGATTGAAAACATTGGGGTTTATAACTAAAAAACAAAGTAAAGTGGAAGCATCTTTTTTATTATCAAAAATAAAAGTGATCTAGCCAAAAGCATTCCTAAGGTAACAGTGCTGGTATCCATGTTAATTTCCAAATCATAAAATTGTGAATTTGGAAAAGGGTCTGTAAAGGTAGCACCCTGCAGGCATTTTGACATGTAAATACTAACATGAAGCCGCTAAAACAAGCCCACATATTGGAGGGGCTCGAAATAGCTCACAGAGCCGCCTAGAGAACCTTATGACTGAAGCCTCACAATCTATCTGGTAAAATGTATATGTATTAGCAGAGGACCAGGTAGCAGCCTAGCATGAAGCTCTACAAAATATAATAAGAGTATTCTTTGACAGAGAAAGGAGGAACCTTACCCATAAATTTGAATGATGATTTGCCTAACCCACCTGGAGATGGTAACTCAAGCTGCACACAGATCCCAGCATGGGCCCTCAGAAATTACAAAAAGAAAAAGTCACTTCCTCTAACTGATGCCGAACCTGAGAGGTAAACGCACAAAGCACATGCCACATCCAGACAGGGGAGAGATATCTCTTTAGCATGGCGAGAAAAAAGACATATAAAGGGCAGGTAAATGTCCTAGTTAAGGTGGAACGTAGAAATTACCTTAGGAAGAAGATGGGCTTTTAAACTCATGAATGAACAGAAGGTGATGTAGATCACTTCCCATTCATTCATAATTGAGGATACAGTAAATATACTATGTCCTCAATTATTTAGAAACACTCAGCGATCACTACATGTTTGTACCTTGCTCTCCTTCCTGACTCGCTGTCACAGGAGGCTGAGCGACCAGTGCGGGAGGAGAGCCCAGCCTCCTGTGACAGCGCGGGCTGTCTCCGCCCACACACCGCTCTGTGACAGGAGGCTGACTGGTGCGGGAGGAGAGACACCGGCCACTCACAGCGCTCTCCTCCCGCAGTGCTCGGCCTCCTGTGACAGTTCTTCTCCTCCCCGCTGGGACACAGAGCAGCGCCCAGTGGGGAGAAGAGAAAGAATAGATGCACCGCTGTATTGGCCAGAAAATTGCACTTTTGGCATTATGCCAAAAGTGCCATTTTTGGCCGATATACCGGTGCATCCCTAGTAAAGATAACCTAAGTGGATAGACTTACATCTTTTAAGGCCTAGGCGTCAACAGCCACGCCATTAACAACAGCAACCGTGAAGCAGGGTGGTGAACTAGTCCCTTGAGAAAAGATCCGGACTATCCAAGGGCCCACTAAGAATCTGCCAAGATCTAAGTAAAAGGCATGCCTGGGGTAGTGAAGTGTGATAAGAATCACTGGAATAGCCTCCATTTCAATCCTGCGTAGCAGATGAGGTAGGCACTGTAGAGGAGAAAAGGTGTAGATCAGGCTGGACGCATCCATTGCTAGGGCCAGGGGCCCCTGGATCTGAACTCAAAACTTCCCAGTTTGTTGTTGAACCAGACAGCCAGGAGGCCCATTTCCAGCATCTCTCATCTGAGACAGAGGTCTTGAAACACCTGAAGAGACCACTCTTTAAAGTCCAGCTATTGACTACTGAGAAAATCCACCTGTCAAATTTTCCATGCCTGGAATATAGACTATGGATAGGGCTGGTGTGTGAAGTTCCGCCCAAGTCAGAATCTGATGTGCCTCTTTGAGCTGCGAGACTTCTGGCTCCCTCTTGCTGGCTGATGTAAGCCACTGCTGTGGCGTTGCCCGACTGAATCCTGGTCAGATACCCACATAGTCGAGGAGTCCAGCATTGCATGGATAATTAAATCACTGAGCATGAGAAGGTGGATTCGGAGAGGAGTCTCCTTCAGCAAACAAATCCCTTGAACCAAGAGAGGGTCCAAGACTCCCTTTCAGCCCAGCAGGCTGGCATTTGCCATTTTGACCTTCCAGCAAAGTGGAAGTAAAGACTTCCCTAACTCAAGCACTGGACTTGGGACCCACCTACCCAGAGCAAGGCAAGTCTTCATATGTAGTTAAATGGGCTGGTCCAGAGACTGGGCCTTCCTTTCCCACACAGTCAGAATGTTGAGTTGTAATGGTTTGGAGTGAAACTGGGCACAAGTTTGCAACATACTACCATTAGGCCCAGAACTCTCAAACAGAAGCCAAAGCGATGGCTGACCCTGGGCTGAAGTGTCAGAACGTGGGGGAGAAAGGTTTAGTGCTTTAACTGTGAAAGGAAAATCCTGGACAGGGGTGTCCAGTAGGAGGCCCAGTGATGAGTCAGTTCCAGAGCTGACTTCTAGAGGTTCAAGATTCACCTAATCTTATGCAGGGTTTGCAGAGCCTGTTGGACATTGACAGCGTTTGTGCCGACTGTTCCCTCAGTAGAAGGTTGTCTAGGTCCTTGGTTCTCAACTGGTGGGTCGTGACCCAAAAGTGGGTCACCACATGTCTTCCACTTTCCTGGGTGAGAGGTTCCTCAGCCTCCTAGCACAGCACTGTCAGTTCACGCACCAAGCAGCCATTCTAAATATGCTGCCCAGCACTGAGTATCAGCTTGAGGTGGGGTGAGCCAGGGGTTAGGTGGCGAGGGAGCTCCATCCATACATGCATTGCTTACAGCTTCCTCACGTGCCCTGTAGAGATGCCTGGACCGGAGTGACATCACATTCTGGCTCCTCTACAGGGCATGCACGGGAGCTGTACAAGCAATGCACATATGGATGGACCCCAGGCTGAGGATCCACTCCAGTTCTCGTAAGGTAGGGAGACTGGGTGTATCTTTAAAAAAAAAAAAAATTCTGGAGTGTGTGTGTGTGTTAGAATATCTGTGAGTGTGAGATTGTATCTCTGGTTGTGCATGTCCAGGGGTGTGGAAATTTTGGAAAAAACTACTTGTCCAAGGACTAAAGCGGGGGCCAAATCTACTTGTCCCTCATGACAATCTACTTGTCCTGATATAAAAAAAATTATGTTAACCAAACCGTATTTAGCAGTGCTAAGAAGCGCTTCTCATTGGTCAATGCCGTCAGGTGACCGCGTTGACCAAGTACTTGCAATTTGCGAGCGAAATTCAGAATACATGTAACAGGTACAGATAGTACACCTGTACTGGTGGACGGGAAGGACTGGTCGCCGAAAGGTAAGTATAGTGGGAGGGAGATTTGTGCGGGTAATTCCTTTTTCCCAAATTACTTGGGAAAGTGAATATACCCTTTAGGGTTGGTGCAGACCTGCGGATTCCCGGGACGTGCGATCGTGTGCGGTTGCATACGCATGTATGGGGTTACATCTGGGCGGCAATCGCTGAAAAAAAAGGTAGATGTATCTATTTTCACGACATGCACCGCGCAGTGTTTTCAACCGTGATCGTGTGGGATCGCCCGGGCGATATTGCAGCAGGAAAACGCGCAATCTGCCTGGCATGACTGGGGTGCCATTAGAAAATAATGGCACTGACAGCACGATCGGTGGTGGTGTGCGATTCCGTGACCACCCAGCCATCCGCTCGGTTTCGTGCACGATGACCGGTCAGTCACAGATCGCACACCACTGCCGATCGCGCTGGCAGTGCCATTATTTTCTAATGGCACCCCAGTCGTGCCAGGCAGATTGCGGTGTTTTCCGAGCGGTAGCACACGATCGCAGTTGAAAACACTGCGCGTTTATTCGCATGCAGATGGGGCAGCGGGGCTGGTTTTAATTTTTTATTAAAGGAGAACTATGAGGTGAGTGCTTTTCACTCACCTCATAGTTCTAGCCGACCTGTGACAATGAGACTGTCACAGGTCGGCTCAGTAGATCGGGAGGTGAGCGAACACATACTGGCGTTTGCTCACCTCCCAATCCTGTAACGGCTCTCTGAGGGGCTGGATTCCCCCCCTCCAGCGCTGACTGGCGGGGGGGGGGACAGCTGGCTCTGCCTCTAGATGGGTAGAGCCAGCTGTCACTCACGCAGCTGGGCGGATCCAGACATAATTGTCGGGATCCGCTTCAGCTGCGGCGTTTCAGTATACCGCGAGCAGCAGGTCTCTATACTGCGGTGTCTCATTATACCGCGAGCTGCAGCTCGCAGTATACTGAGCTTAGGGTGACGGGAGGACGCTAGTTTGTGTCCTCCCGTTACCCTAAGGAGAACTATGGGGAAAAG